AATGAGGCATTTTTCTGGTACAAGGCAATGAGCCTCTTCACCAGAGTATGATCCAGTGGACCAGGAGGAAATGTTTTGGAAAGATTTTTAGGAAGTCTTTATCTATAGGTCATGCCTACTGACGTTAGGGCTGAGAGAAAGGGCAGCATCTAGCATAGCCCAGTTTCTGATTTGAGCTACTGAGTGGGGAATAGTACTAACGACTCAGCGAGAACAAGGCAGAGTTATGAACTGCAGGTATGTTAAAATTGACATGCCGGATGGGTATTCAGGAGGCAATGACAACGAGGGGTTAAAGAAGACCCTGGACTTTGTAGAAGCAGCATGAGCGGGAGGTCAAGATGTGGGAGTCACTGGCACGAGGGTGGTATTTGTTACCAGGAGGGCAAATGAGACGACTGTGGGGGCGGTTAGCAGAGTGTGAGAAGGGAGTTGAGTAAGACGACCAGGGATCGTGCTGTTTACAAGTGGCCAAGGATGTGAAGTCAATGAAGTGAATATGAAGAGGAACACAGAGCTGGAGACTGAGAAACTACAACTGAACTGGTCACCCACTGTGATGGGGCAAAAGACACAGCAATCCTGCCAAGTCCTCCCCCACACAGCTCACAGCAGCAGGCAGGATGGGCTTGCCAATCCTGGGACACATCTTTCTGCAAGGAGTGCAGAGGGAGGGCTCTGAGAATAACACAGACAGCCACAAGCTTTGCCCAAAGAAATGTCACATTGAAACAGCCCCGGCCCCGGAAAGGTAGGATGTTGGGGCAATGACTGAAATTGTAGCTGAGATGGGAAACTCTAGAGATAAAGGACATTCATTTAGTTTCCTAGGACTTTGTGAATGATTCATCCTTCTTCTCCTCTGTGAGGTGGAAATGTGTTAGAAAGAAATATTCTATGGTTATAAATTCTCTCGGTTCCTTCTTAACCAGTCAGGCAAGATTGATGGACTAAGCTGGTTGACACAGAAGCAATTGGGAATATCGTTATTTGCCTTGTATTTATCTGCATTTATGTTAATGGCTTTGTTCTTGATCAGAGCAGCCAGGAAACTAGGGGAAATGTTTATTGTACTCAAAGTTTTCCTGTGATGAATTATGTCAGAGTTGTAGAATAGCCAATGCACATAACATGTTGAAAATATTTCCCTTAATTTTTTTTTCCTGCTTCTGATCCCAACAGCACAGACCTCCTGTATACTTGAGACCAAACCGACTCAATTTTTTATATTCTGCCTTGTCATCTGATTGATTTAATGCTTCTTGTGGTCAGACTTTGCAGAGAAAAGGATACCCATACAATTTCTCTCTCTGGCATGCTCTTGCTTGCTTGCTCTTTTTTTAAAGAGCAATTTCATAAAGTCACAGGACCAGAGGGACCTTTGTCCACATTTTTTCCCAACTCCTCACTGTACAAAAGCACTTGGGGAAAAAAGGATGAGAAGGAAAGAAGTCACTTTTAAAAAATCTTTTAGAGGTCAGGCTACAGGCTCAGATGTTTTACTTGAATTAACCTATTCAATCTTTATGAAACTCTATTATCCCCACATTGAAGAGGAATAAATTGAGGCTCAGAGAAAGTCAGACACAGGCTGGCAAACCACTCTATGTAGTGCAAATCAAGCTCAGCTTCTGATTTTGTAAATAAATTTTTCTTGGAACACAAGCAAACTCACTCATTTATGTATCGTTAACAGCTGCTTTCAAGTCACAATGGCAAAGCTGAGTGGCCGCAGGCAAAACCATGTGGCCCACAAAGCCAAAAATGTTTACTATTTGGTCCTTTATAGAAGTTTACCGATTCCTAGTTTAGGAAAATTGTCATGGTCACAGATAGATAGCGTATAACCTGTGCGTTGTAAGACCTTGTTCTGTCTCATTCCAAACCTCTGTTCTTTCCTACCACGCTGCTGCCACAGCCATTCACTGTGTCCACCACATACATAAAGAATTCACTCCGGTGGGCCCTCAGTGCATTTTCATCTCAAAAAGCCACCTTCTTGAAAACCTGCAAGGCTTCTTACAGGCAATTATAGGCAGCAGCAAGGGTATGTGTGCCTGTGAGGCATTTGAGGAATAAGTCTTCCCTTACCCTTCATGTCACAGTGGGTTCCATTTTCTGTTTTGTAAAAGGGAATCCAAAATGGAGATTAGTTTAAGTAGAACCCTTCTTCCTTTATTGGGGAAGGTTTCCTGGAAGAGGTAGAATTTGATGTAAGTTCTTCACGTCACGGGTCATATAAATTTCTCCAAAAGCTTCAGAGGGAAATGAGAAGGTGCAAAAAATGCTTCTAAAGACTGTAAACCATTCCAAATGGTGATGCTGAGGAAGGCGAGTGACAGTGACCATGCCAGAAGCAGCCATTTGCGGAACACATAGTGGGATTTACATGAAGTTCAAGTTTACATAAAGTTTCTCCAATCAGCACAGACCCTGAAGAGGTAGATAATTTTGTGAGAGGAGGAGGAGATTGACCCAGAAATGTAAAGAGACTTGCCTGAGATTCCACAGTTAGTACGTAGCACAGATAGGACTTGAATCCCAGTATGCATGCAAAGCCCACTCCTTCTCTGTGTGCCACTTCTTAAATGAAGCCAACCGAATGAAAAGCTGGCCCCAAGGTTCAAGCTTTCTCAGGGTTAGCTTTTCTTAGATGTAAAGTAAATGAGTTAATGGAAGCCAACCAAAGGCAGATATTTGTGGTCCTTATTGGAATTGGAAGTCTGAAGATGGGAGAGAAGGGGGCGTGGTCTATAAGGGTGTTGAGGGGAGAGCGGAAGGGGAACTAAAATAAAGAAGGAAAACTTTCAGTGGAGGCTCCCTAGACTGGGATACCTGTGGGTATCCATCAGAGCTGGGAAGAGACCCATAAGAGAACAAAAGTGCAAAAGAGATGTTAAAAGCAAATAAGAAGGCGGAAGAAATGCCCATCCATGGAGGCCAAGACTACAAGGCATCAGAAGTGTGACGTCTGACACTGGGAATCTGATCCGAGATGAGATCTTTACACAATTAGAGGGCCTGTTTAATCAGAGAACTGCAGAACATCAGGTGCAGAGGGGATTTATGGGACATTTGGTCTGATCTTCATCTAATCCTGATGGTGCAGGACAGGCAAGTCCCAAAGTGGGGCTCAGCCTGAGAGGGTTCTGGCTTCACCCAGGAAGGACTCCAAGGGTGAGCTGGTAGTAGCGTAAAAGAAAACACCTTTACTGAAGGGGCAGTGTTAGAACTTCAGCAGTGTTACAGCTCCATGACTGTTCCTGCAGAGCAGGGATACCCCATAGGCAGTGTTCAGGGCACGTTTGCAGTCATATTTAAGTACGTGTAGGTTACAGGGTAGTGGTGGTTTATGCAAAAATTTCTAGGGAAGGCGTAGTAACTTTTGAGTTGTTGGGTCATTGCCATGGGAAGGGGCAGTAACTCCTGGGTGTCAACCATTGCCATGGTACACTGGTGGGCATGTCTTTTAGAAAGCTGCTTTTGCTCCATCTCCATTTTAGCTAGTCCTCAATTTGGTCCAGTGTCTGAGCCCCACCTCCAGAGTTGAATCCTGCCTTCTCTACCTCACTGATACTCCATGATGGCCACCACTGAGGATAAACAGACCCCACTTGATCACCTTTGGAAACAAGGAATCTAGTTCCTACAGCACTGGGCATTTCCAACTCACACAGTTGATTTCCCTGTAACTTATATCAATCAATCCCAATTCTGCCCCCAGGATAGTAGATAGGACAAACCTAACTACTGCTTTTCTACATACAATTTATTAAAATATGCAGAGAGCTAGCTTATACCCTCAGGACCATCCTTTCCAAGTTAAACACAAAAATCACCACTAACAGATGCCTTCTGTGCATGATCAGCCCACTAGGAGCATTATATGTTATCTTATATCCGTAAGAGGTTTTCATTACTACCTGCACTTTATAGGAGAGAAAACTGTGGCTCAGAGAACATAAGTAAGTTCCCTGTGGTTCACTTGTAAGAGAGATAGATTCCCAACATAGATCATTCTTTAAGTATCCTGTGGTTTGACACCAAGATTTTGAGCTCCCTCACCATTATGGTAACTTTAGACTTAAAAAAAGCAGAAAAGAGTAAGTGGGCATGTTTTACTTGTTTTTTCATCATATTGACATGAAGGAGAAAAAGTAAATTATAAATAGAGTTGAGTCAGAGCTGTATAAGAAAAACAATCGACTAGCTAAAAAATGACTTCCTGTAAAATACCTTCTTAGGTTTTTGATGTTTAAAATAAAAATCAGTGGTATGTGTCTCTGTAAATCCAGGGGAGAAATTCAACCACTTTCCCAGGAATAGTCGATAAAATCATATTTCCTTATATTTGCCAAACAATGGGAATATATATTTGATAATTAGGTAAACTTCCTCTCTTTGTCATTTTAAAATCAATAGCATCTTTAAAACATATTTTCATAATAATCCCCTCTAATAAAAAGTGTCAGAAGAGGCAGTTTCATGGACTATAACTTTATAGACAATGAGGCTAATCAAGGTGGATATGTTTTCAAACATGGTTATGAGTTCTCAAGCCTCCAAGGTCGAAAGACAGAAATCAACTATAAAATTTTGGTTTCAAATGGCACCATAAAGGCCAATGCCAGTTATAATTTCCAGCCTTTTCTCCTTCAATTCTTATGCCCAACACCATTTCTAATTAGGAAACTGGTCTTCTGTGAGCACCTTAATGAAGTTGTAACTCCTGTGAATTCTTCCATCTGGAACATCTTCCATGTGTTACAGATGAAACCATCCACAGCCATATCAGCTGAAAGTTTGACTTCCAAAGGCCCAGGGCATCCACTGCCTGACAAGCACTTACTTTTTGAATATTTTAAAGACAAGGGAATTAAACACTTCAAAAATAACAAATTCCTCTTTGCATGAAAATATGTTTCCATCTTAGTGATGTAAAAGAATAGCTTGTTATCACGGTACATCTGAAGAAAAAAACAAATTACACATGCAAATGTTTTTTTAGCTAATTAATTCAATTCTGAAGATAAAATTGGGACAGTACAGAATTTCAAGCAGATTCCTAATAAGATGTGGAATTTAGCAAATTCAGCCTAGGTACCAGAACATCTATTTCCAGTAGATAAAGCTTCTTGTGGCTGCTTAGGTTGGTCATTCCAGACCAAGGTTTGCAAAAAGCCTTAATATACTGATTAGATATTTGTCCCATTATTCCTGCAATGTAAAAATTTCAGGGTCAAAATCTAGACTAAATTTGTGGAAACTCTCGTTACCTTGTACAAATTAAAATACCACCCAGGAGAATGGAATTCACCTCTCATAGTGATATAAAGACAACATTATAAAACCTATATCAGTTATACAATTAAACCAGTCTGAATTTTTTAATTCGTCGAAAGGACATGGGTTTGAAGTCATACATATCTGGATTTGGATAATTAATCGGCCAGCTATTTGCTATGTGAGAGAACAAAACATCATTAAAAATCCCTAATACATACTCAATATTTTTTTATCTGTAAGGTGGAATTAAAAATATCCACCTCAGGGTTTTGTCACTGTTGTTTGTTATAAGAATTAGAACCAAAATGTATTTGTGTTTAAGAAAAAAACATGTATCGTTATAACCCCCAGATGCCTTTTATGCGTGTTTGCTTCTAATTAAAAAAATAAAATAAAGAATCCTTTTGTTTTGTCATGAAACCAAGATCTTTTGAACACAAAAATCTTGAGGAAGTCTTCGGATTTCAAGAAGGCATCAGTAGAAGAGGTGATTAAGCTTGTTTCATCCAGAATTCCAGAATCTGGAAAGATTCTAGATCAGGGGTTCCCAACCCCTGGGCTGCAGACCAATCCATGACCTGTTAGGAACGGGGCTGAACAGCGTGACCATTGGACAGGCCAGCATGACCACCTGAGCTCTGCCTCCTCTCAGATCAGCAGCAGCATTAGATTCCCATAGGAGCCGGAACCCTATTGTGAACTGCGCATGCATGGGATCTATGTTGTACACTCCTTATGAGAATCTAACTCATGCCTGATGATCTGAGGTGGAACAGTTTCATCCCAAAAACATCCCCACCACCCCACCCACCCATCCATCGAAAAGTTGTCTTGCCGTGAAACCTCTCCCTGATGACAAAAGCTTGGGGACCACTGCTCTAGATTGCACAGTAGATAAACTATCTCAGAGTCTGGAATATAGTAGATGCTCAAGAAACTCTTTCTTTTCTGGAAGCATTGTTTCTGTGCTAGAATATCTTTGTTTTTGAGAAGTACCACCAAGTTTCCTATTTCCTTTTTCTCTAAACTTTTATTTTAGTTTCAGAGACTCGTGTGCAAGTTTGTGATATAGATAAATTACATGTCACAGGGGTTTGGTGTACAGATTGTTTCATCACCCAGGTGTTAAACATAGTAGTTGGTAGGTAGTTTTTTGATGCTCACCTGCCACTCCCCCTCCACCCTCAAGTAGGTCCTGGTGTCTGATATTTCCTTTCTGGTGTCCATGTGCACTCAACTTTTAGCTCCCACTTGTAAGTGAGAACATGCAGTATTTGGTTTTCTATTCCTGTGTTAATTCACTTAGGAAAATGATATCTGGCTCCATACATGGAGCACCAAATCCCTCCAGCCCAGCAGCAAGGAGACAGAATTTTTACTCTGTCTCTGGTGGTGGGGCTCAGGACAAGCATTTGGAAGCCTGAGGGAAAAGAAAAGTGTACAAAAGGGACATAAAATATAGACATACAGTCTACCACACCCTGCCCTGTGGCCAGGAAAGACACGGCTGCTCTGTCACAGAGCTGCATGAGAGATCAAATAAATTTCTATTATTCACATGTACCAGTGAAAAGGAGACTTTCTGATATCTTGACTCAAGGTCATGACTCTGAATGTCCCTACCAGTGAGAAAAGAAAAATGCTGGGGGTCCCTGAGCTGGAAGAAACCTCCTGGGTTGCACCAGATAGACTTGTCCAGACCCAAGAAGTCAGAGCTTTAGCCTGGATTCTGTGAGATAAAGATGACCTGAGCCGATATCCCAGAAAAGAGGTGAAAGCAAGGCAAAGAGACAGCAGCACCAAGTAATGGGTCCAGTCAAGAAGAAACAATGGAGTTTGAATAGAGAGCTGAAAAATGGGACACTGAGCCCAGAAAATGCCTGGCAGGGGCATTAGATCAGGCTGGAACTTTGGGATTTCCAATATTTCCCATATCTTAAAGGACTCAGACGAAGAAGGGCAGTTAGGAGGAAGAGACCCAGAGCAGGGATATCAGGGGAAGGTGAGGAGTCTGAAAAACTGAGCTATCATTGTCAAAACAATTTTTATCTCCAAGGAATACCCTAGACCCTATACTTCACCCAGGAAAATTCCAAGGATAAGAAAACGTTTCTTCCTAGACAAGCAATTGAGACCACTTTGATCTTCCTGCTTGTGTGAATGAATCACAAATTCCTCCAAGTCCTATTGAATGAATTCAACATGAGCAGAGATGCTTCCTTTTCTTCTCTGTAAAATACACCACCAACATCTCTTTTCTTAAATGCTCCTGAGGTTCTCCCACTGGCCGTTGACTTCTCTGAACCTCGGGCTTCTCATCTATCAAATGGCGAGGATAATACTGAAATGGTGACAAGGCTTCAGAGGGAATTTCAGTAGGAATCAGGAAAGCCATCCTAGGCTCTCTGGTTACGCAGTGAGAATTCTGGAGTTAAATGTCTCAGTATCATGGGCCTTGTTTATGTCCTCTGAAATTCATTTCTAAAATAGCCGTATCTAGAAAACAAAGCCACCCAGATGACCTGAATGCCCTCTTGCTTTGAACCTTTTACCTCCATCTCGAACTAGTAGAGGAGTCCAACTTCATGTAATCTTGTTGGGTATCAGAAGCACACTGCCTCACTTGGGAAAGACCATGATAATAACAGCAATGTCAGGAGTTCAGAAAAGTCCAGATGCATGTAAAAACTGTTCAGGGATTCAGGTGATTGCTCATACCTGGAAATACGGTTATGTGGGAAAAGCTCAGAAAGTTATTTAAGTCTCCATCATCTCCATTCTTTACTTATCAAGACAGGTGGGTCTCTACAGTAGTGGCAACAATAGCTACCATTTATTAAGTATTTATATCAGGGATGGTTAAGTATATTATGTCTTGTCTCTTTATAACTGCCTTATGAGATGAGTAATATCATTTATTTTCATTTTAACAATTAGGCAACTGAGGCACAACAGGATGAAATAACTTGCCCAAGATTACCCAAACATAAAGTGGTAAAGCTAATATTTCAACTCAGGCTGGTGATCCAGGACCCAAGTTTTAAGCTTCTGCCTCTACTGCATTCTGAGTTGGGGAAAGTAGATGATTTTAGATGGGAGAGGAAGGGTTGATTTCTATAAATATTGGTGGCAACATTCCCCTTGATGCTGAGATTTAGACACCATAATGCCAGGGGCTTTATGAATTAATAGGGTTGACTTTATGTGAGTCAGACCTGTTCTTATCTTCCCTGCGTGACTCCAGGCCCCGAGGGGAAGTTTACAGAAGACAAAAAAGCAGAAGACAAGAACTCTGACCATCTGACCCACCCCTCCGAGCACAGCGAGGGCCAGGGTTCCCAACACCAGGTCTCTCCCCAAGCAACCTTCTAACGTTGTTGATTTCCAAATCCCAAAATCCCCACCCATGCAGCATTGTGGGGAGAAGAGAAGGATGTCATCCTTGCTTTTTAATTCCCTTTTTCATCTTCTTATCACAAGTTCCTTGGTAATTTTCCAATTTCAAAGGAAATATTTGGAAGGATATCTGAGGACTGAATTTGTTCATGTTTTACACCAAATGCTTTCAACATGAGAATCCGCCCAGTCGTATCTAATAAAAATATCCTTCCTGAGCTGGTACCAGGAGGTTTCATTAAAATAGCAGTTGATAAGCAGAGCTGATTTAGCACCAAGGAAAAAAATCACAGGCGTATCATGCCTTTGGAATTCAAGAGCACAGCTGAATCAAGGCCCTGTTTAGTTGTCTTAGGACCATATTCTAAGTTTTGCCCTTTCAGATACTGAGGCATACACTGTAGGGGAGAATAAATAGCTTTTCTTTCCATCTTGGGTTCATGGCTGAAACCCCTATTACAAAAGACAGATTAACAAGAGAAAAGCATACAAATTTATTTAATGCAAGTTTTATGTGACACAAGAACCTCTGGAAATGAAGACCCAAAGAAAAGGGGAAGTCTGTGTATTTCTATGTTAAGTTTGGGGTGGCGTGTCCCAAACCCAATCAGTACTACATCAAACCATACTGAATTGTCAAATTGGGAGAATTTTCAGAAATCTTCCTCTATCCATCGTGCCAGAGGCAGAGAAACCTGACGTGGATGATTGCTGATGCCCTAGAACTCAGGTGCTCTCCTGCCTGTGAGTCAAAGCCTCTGTGAGCACTCTGAGAGATTTCTTCCCAGGGTTTCATTCTCCTGAAGACAATTGCCTAATTAACAAAAAAGCCAGACAGGGGCCCAGACAAATGGTTCCTAATATGTTCATTAGTGTATTTTCAAAGTTATTGCATATCACCATGGGTCTTCTGTGAGTGCTGGGAACTCCAAATTGAACAGGAATCTCACCTGCAAGAAGCTTACCATCCGACAAGGGAGGTAAAATGTGCACAATGCAAGATGGAAAGTCATCATTGCTAAGAATGAATGAAAAGGAGGAAAGAATTATTCCCAGCTAGGAGGAGCATGGAATGCTTCCTGAAGGAGGCATCTGAACCAAGTTTTGATTTTTGGCAAGAACTGGGTGTCAAGGATGGGATGGAGCGTTCTCCAAGCATGCTTCAAGGGGTTATTAGCATAAGAAGATAGAAGAGCAGGGGCTGTGTGCAAACAAAGGGAGTACTCAGACATTCAGGCTGCCCAGAGCAAAAGGTGTATGATTAGCTTTAGTGGAAAAAATGGTCAGAATATAGTAATCGGCTTCTGTTTTCTGTACATAAGTTTGCTCATTAATCCAATGCACATACTGAGGTCCTTTCCACCATAGTTAATTTCTACTTCTAACACCATCATTTTGATACAGCAGAAACCTTGGGGTTTTGATAAAGGTGAGAGGTATGGAGAGGCGTGAGTTAAAACTCTGGAAAGCAAAAGCATCCTTATAACCCTCTAATTTTTGTCACTCTGGTCTAATTCGGATGTCTTTGCATATTATGATTCCCCTGCCTGACACACCTTTCTCTACCTTTCTCTGGGGTTCTAGAGACTCAACTCAAATATCACCTCTTCTGTAATGAAGGCTGCCTGCTTCCTGGCCCACTTGGCAGTTCTGAGCTCCAGGTTCCCTCTTCTGCTTCCTCATAACACTCCGCCCATCTCTTCAGCCCTTGTCACAATTTGCTAAATTTATCTGTGTAAGTAACAACAGAACTGGTAAGGACAGGCACCATGTCCTGAGCACTCAGGATGTGCTGGATTTTCCCTGCACCATCACTTCCTCAGAAGGACTGGAACTCATTATGGACAATGTCCTTATCCTAGAGTGAAGGGCATTGACCTGGAACCAGACTGCCTGGGTTGGCATCTTGGCTTTGCCAGTTCTTTAGCTGTGTGAACTTGGGGAACTTACCAACCTCTTTGTGCTTTTGTATTTTGCCTCGGAAATATGGGGATAGCAGTAACACTTATATCATGAGTATTCTTGAAATGGCCATGAATCATAAGAGAAAGCAGAGGCCCCCACGGGTTTAGCGGAGGGTGGTACGTAATGTACCTCGTAGGCACCATATACAGAAATGTTTATTTTGTGATGTTTATTTTTAAACTCAGAGTTCTCTATGCTTAGCAACTGTGTTAACCCATTTATGCCTGAGGCTGCAACTTTTTGAATTTTTTCAATGAGACCTTGGTTATGACCTTGAGCAGTAAGATATAAATATAACTCCCTCATGCTTAGCATTCCAATAATGGAACACTAGGCATAAACGGGTTTTAAGCACATAAGCAAATTTCCCAAGTCCCTCCCGGCTCCAGTATTTCCCAGTCCCAGCTGCCACTCAGTGGCCTTGGGGTCCCTTGGAAATGCTATGTCATCCCAATGCATCAGTGTTCGTCCCAGGGGTAGAACCTCCGAGCCTGGGTAGGGCACCCAGTACACAGATGTTTCAGTTTATGCCTGAGACTTACAGCTATGGAAACACCACCTTTCAAAACTTTATGCTTTTTTGTTTCCAATACATGAATTAGGTCTCAAAAAAGAAAAAGAAAAAAGAAAAGTAACAGATCTGTTTTGTGCCAGAGCTGTCTGGTCCCTCCAAACACTTAATCCAGCCGCTCTCATTGTCTGGGATCAAAGCACCTTCCCCACACTGTAGCTTTGTTCTACTTGGAGCAGATGAACAGGCTGAAAGAACTCCTTCAGGCTTCCTGCCCCTCCCTTCCCCTGAGCTTTGAGAGAACAAAGAGATTTACAAGGCTAGGATCCCAACTACAAGGTGCTAATGATCAGAATCACATGCATCTGAGGTCTGGACAAGCCTTCCTAAGTCAGAAGGCTTCCAGCAGCAGGGGAGGCACGTAAGGGAGGAGAAAGCACTCACAGGCATAAGTAGATCTCACCCACGACGGAAACCCTGTCCTCTGAGAGTCAGGCAGGCTCCACTGGGCCCTGTTCCTCCCCTGCCCAGCACTTGAAAGTAGCTATTTAGTCTCAGCCTGTGCTGAGAATGACAAAAGAGTTTGCTCTCCCAGAGCGCAAACTCTGGGAGACCTGTTTAGCATGAATCAGCATCACCTCGAGGGTTTGTTAAAATATAGCTTGCTAAGCCCCAGTTCTGAGTTTTTGATTCGGTAGGTCTAGGTAGAACTCCAGAATTTGCATTTCTAACAAATTCCCAGATGCTGCTGGTTCAGGGACAATCCTTTGACAACCTCTATTCCAGATTCATATACAATAAACCATTCAGAGCCTATATAGTCTCCAATCTCAGCTTCCAGCTGCCTCTTCCAAGGATCTGGAGATCCCATGAGCAATGAGCAGAATAAGTAGTCATTGCCAAGTCAGATCTTGGTCCTTTCACACACATCCCAGCATGGTTTGGTCAAGGTGGAAACATGAATGTCCCACTCTAAAACTCTTAATATAAACCACAGAGATGCACTGCATAATACTGTGAAAAGCAGAGTAACCTGTACCATAGCAGAGTGGGTGAGAGAGGAGATTTCTAAGGCAGATTCCCTGGATCCTGCAAGCCCTCTTACTAACTGGGTGACCATGGACAAGATGCTTAAACTGTTAGCCTCTGTCTCCTTACTTGAAAACTGTGGAGCTAAATGAGCTTCCCATCACATGGTTGTTAGAAAGAGTGAACAATATAACCCAAATATGACCTCATGTCAGGCTCTATGGACAGCGATAATTTTAAAAACCAACTTAAACTACATAACCTGCCTCTAATCTAAACTCTCTGCCTTTTTGTGGGCTCAGCTTCTGCCTGCAACCTGTGGCAGTAGGTAGGATGATTTCAACATCAGTGAGCAAAATAAATGCCTTCTCACCTAAAGTCCCAACAGCTGATAGATACCTCACTGAGCAGAGACATGGGCACCGAGATTTCACATATGCATGCCATTACTTACCTCTACCCCGGCAACAAGAACACACGGCATTCCTGTTTCACCTAGCTGTGCCCGGGTTTCTGATATGTACATTTACATTCCAGCCCACACTGCCAAGGCAATGCCTGTTTCATGGAAAATGACCTTTGCTGGAGAAAGGGTCTCATTACATTTGCAGATATGAGCTGAAGTTTATGGAATTCCAGAGTGATTCTTTAAAGACAAACTTCAGGAAGAGGATGCTAGCTCAAGTTGTCAGAACAAATCCCCAAACATTTTGTCTTAGTCCATTTTGTGCTGCTATTACAGAATGCCTAAGATTGGGTAAGGATAAAGAAAAGAAATTTATTTGGCTCACAGTTCTGGAGGCTGAAAAGTCCAAAGGCATGCACCACCATCTACTCAGCATTCACTGAGGGTCTCCTTGCTACAGTATCCCTCGGCAGAAGGTAGAAGAGTTAGAGAGCACGCAGGCACACCTTGCTAACCTATAGTTAGGGAAGAAAGGGGGCTGAACTCATTCTTTTTTCAGGAACCCACTCCTGACCTTACGGTTCTAATCCATTCATGAGGGCTCTGGTCACCTCTAAAATGTGCTACCTTTTAACACTGCTGCATTGGGGATTAAGTTTTCAACACATGAAATTTCAGAAACACTTTTGAACCATAGCACATTTTCTATTTGAAACAGAAAAAAAATAAAAGCAAAAAACATTATGGTGATTTTTTTTTTCTTTATCTTGTTAACCTTGAAAGTAGATGCATCAGGACTGACTCCCCCAGGATTCTGCTCAGGAAAGTGTTGAAAGGGAAGAACATCAGCTTGAGTTTAGCTATAAGCACTTTCTGTCCATGGGCTAATTTTCTGAAGTTCTCTGTGAGCAAGCTAAGATTTTCTATGAAATCTCAAAATAATCAAATCAATGACCAGATACTTTCGATGTCACACAGCTGAAGCAACTGTGAGGGGCAAGACAGTTCACACAGGCTGCCAGCTGGGCTCACAGTCACTACATAATCATGCACATGGTACATGGTACAAAAGGCAGACTGTGGTCCCCAGCAGCTCAGGAAATCGAACAAGAGGTGTCCATGTCAAGACAGAAACTGGAGAGTGTAATAGACGCACTAGACCTTGTGAGCGAAAACCGTACCAAAAAAAAAAAAAAAAAATAGTACGCAGGTGGTAGAACATGCTCATTCATGCAAATAGTTCTCAAATCACTTTCTCAAGTGCCAGTAAAATAAATTGTATTTTTGAGAATGTACGCAGTCAAGTCAAGCTGTCTACAACCAACCAATGTGACTCTTCCTTGGTGAATCCAACCAAGTGCTGTTTCGGATACTTAACTTTGGGGGTTGGGACAAGGCAGCACTGCCTGCACCTGGAAAGAGAAGCCTTATCTCTGTGGACCAGATTCCCACATTTCAGACTCACGGAGATAGATAAGCAAAGTCCCAATCTATTCATTCCTCTCCCAGAAATTCAGCTGTTACATAAGCCAGTGCTTTCCTCTTCACTGTCTGTCTGTTCTGTCCCTGTTTCATACACACTAGGGAAAAGGCCTCCTGAGGAGTCTCAGATCAGAGCATGGCCCAAGCTGAGGATCCACAGTAGATGAAGGTCAACAAAGAGGCCCGATACACTTGTGGGTCAGAGCTCCTGAGTTGTAGCTGCTGCACTAGCATGGTAGACTGAATAACAATCCCAAAGACATCCACGTTCTTATCCCTAGAAGCTATAAACACCTTACATGGCACAGGGTGTTGTGCAGTGGTGAAGACATTAAGGATCTTGAGAAATAGATTATTTCAAATTATTGAAGGGGGCCCTAAATGTAATCATAAGTGTTCTTAGAAAGGCAAAAAGAGACTGGACTGTGGAGACAGGAGTTGCTGAGATGACTGCAGCAAGATGCTGAAGGGCTAGCCTTGAAGATGGGGAAGGGGCTGGGAGCCCAAGATGGCAAGAAACGCAGCTCTAGAAGCTAGAAAAGGCAGAAGATTCCATTCTCCCTTGGAGCATTCAGAGGGTGTGCAGTCTTGGACCTTGATTTTGGCCCAGTGAAACCACTTCTGACTTCCAGAAGTGTGAGAAAATATGTGTTGTTTTCAATCTCCACGTTTGGAGTAATTTGTTATAGCAGCCACAGGAAACTAATATAACTGAGCACTACCAAAATTCTGCTTCATTGAACTGCCCTTTTCCCTGTTCCCCATAGGCTCATCCCATATCCTCCTTTTAACACCATCTCCCCCAGAGAGTCACCCACAACTCACTGGTCTTCCATGCCCATTAATCATGCCCATAGGTGATAACCAGCAGTCCCCTTCGACAGGACTCCCCTGTCAGTGGAGGTGTGTTGGGTTGTCTGTGTGTGCAAGACATGACGGGCATCCAAGATGTGTCCAAAGACGTCAGTTCTACGTCCCCTTGACTGTGACGTTTAATCACTCAGGGCACAGACTGTGAGATCTTAATGAGCTTTCTGACTACATTCCTATTTTAAACTGCAGGGATTTTTCACTTTTTCTAAAAAAGATGACAATAACTTTACAAGATTTTGGTGAGCATCAAATATATATTTTTTCCACATACCCACAAATGCTTGTCTTTTTCTTAACTTATTTTAAGTTCAGGTTTACTTGTGCAGGTTTGTTACATAGGTAAGCCTGTGTCTTGGGGGTTTGTTGTACAAATTATTTTATCACTCAGATATTAAGTCTAGTACCTGATTATTTCATCACCCAGATATTAAGTCTAATACCTTTACTTGATCCTCTCCCTCCTTCCACCCTCCACCTTTCAATCGGCCCCAGTGTATGTTGTTCCCCTCTATGTGTCCAAGTGTTCTCATCATTTGTAATTTTAGGTGAATTCTTTCTATAAAAAACTAGCAATGGTTCACTATGGAGTCCAGTTTTCTATGTCATATGTAAGAGTGTGACACATGCAAGGGTGACTCTATGACTCAGTACACAATAGCCCTATGCCATGGGATATTCTTATTATGCCCATTGTGTAGATGAGAAAACTGAGTTCTAGAAAGTTTAGGGAATGTGTGCAAGGTTACACTGCTGATCGAGTTCACACAGTCAAGCTGGCACTGGAGCCTAAGCATTCTGACTCCAGGGGTCTGTCCACTTAAACGCCTCATACCACCATACTGAATGTATATGAGAATGACTGTAACAGTCATTATAGCTTCCGTGGATCCTGATGTAGTACTGACCATTGCCCCTGCCTGGCATGCCTTTGCCTGGTCCGGTCATCCGCCAGGCTTCAACGGCTGAGAACTGTGTCTTCCCAGTTCAGGAGACATGAACAGAAGCCATAGCTCGGTGCTGATGCTAATTGCCTCCGAGTCTGTATGTTGCATAATGAGACCACCTAACAAGCCATGGGCTGTAAAAAAGTCCTTGTCCCATTTCCAAAGCTTGTGATTTGAGGGAGATGAGGCTCAGATGGAACTCCAAGGCTGAGCCTGAACCTCGTCAACTGGAACTGAAATTTTTGGTTGAAGTGTGAGGCAGCCTATTACCCACATTCAGGAGCAGTTTAAACACATTCAGTCCCTTTGAGTGAGAAGCTCCCAACATGCCTCCCCACGTTTTATTGTAGTCTTCTGCACTGATCTGTTTCATAAATATTCATTAAGCATCTACAGCTCTTCTGAACACCAAGGCTGGAACAATGAAGCTCCACTCTATGCATGAAAGAAACATGCAGCCAGGTGCAGTGGTTCTCACCTGTAATCCCAACACTTTGGGAGGCCAAGATGGGAAGATCACAAGGTCAGGAGATTGAGACCATCCTGGCCTCAATCTGTACTAAACATGGTGAAACTCCATCTGTACTAAAAATACAAAAGTTACCTGGGTGTGGTGGCATGCACCTGTAATCCCAGCTATATGGGAGGCTGAGGCAGGAGAATTGCTTTAACCCAGGAGATGGAGGTTGCAGTGAGCTGAGAACACACTGCTGCACTCCAGCCTGGTGACAGAGTGAGACTCCGAAACATGCAAAGTGGTGCACAGGCCAGCCAGTCATGAAGATCTGGTATTAGGGCCCAGGGAGAAAGTGGTTAAATTGACCCAGAAGAATTGAGGAAAGATTCATAAAGACATTGATGTTTACTGGAATTGTTAAGTCTTGCCAAACATGGAGGGAAGACTTCCCTATCGAAGAGAGGGAGAAGCTTACACATACACAAACTTGAATGGGTTAATGAAAAAAACATCAGTGAGGCTAGAAATCTGGGGATATGGGAGGAGACTGAGTGGAAGATTGCGCTTACAGTTCTAGAGGCAAGAGATGGAACTGCCCTTCCATACCACAGCCTGATTGGGATTAAGATTATATACCAGGCTTACTGCAGTGAAGTCTTACATGGACTGAGCCTTCAACCTTTCTTCCCTCTCTTGCTTCAAACTCTTGAACCTGAGCTCCAAAACGTGTCACTGCAATGCTCCCATGTTAATGAGCGAACAACGTCAAGGCATCTCATTCATATGCAAACGCTCTGACACAGATGCTATATGAAATGAATTCAGATGGAATATGCCAGCATCCTTTTTTTTCTTAATCCTTCCAGAGAGTTATGATGTTGCTACATAAGTTAATGAGAGGAATGGAAGAGCAAACACCGCTCTAGAAACCTATCAACAGTATAACTATTTAGATGGGTATTAAAGCCAGACACTGTCATATAATTTGAGGGTATGGCTGAAGACATCTTAAGAATATTTTGTTACTGACAATTGAATCATAATTTTAACAGACATCTCCAAAAAGAGAAGCAGTGGTAGCAGCCATGTAACATTTATTTAGGAGCTGGTGAAGATCTTTGATTCAAAGTGCTGGCTGAAATGACAGAACCCAGCTCTTGGGATGTCAGACCTGCCAAACAGTTAGAATTTTATTAGAATAGTAAGTGCCCAAGAAATATCAATGCCGTGCTCGATAGATAGGTACTATGCAAAGTGCTTTACGTACATTCTCCATTTAATCCTCACAGCAGCTTTGAGTGGCAACTTTTATTACTCTCCTTTATGGATGAGCAAACTGAGGCACAGAGAGGGCAAGCAATTTGCCCAAGGTCACACAGCTAACGAGAGAAGGGGTGGAGATTCCAACCTAACAATCTGGCTTGACTCTCACCCACTGTCCTCTACGCCCTGTGGGCAATGAATTCTACTGCTCTAGTCTCAAAGGTGAGGAAACAGAGCCTCGTTCAGGAATAAGTGACCTGGCCAAGTCTCCTGCAGACACTTAAGAATAAAAATATTTGGGCCGGGTGTGGTGGCTCACACCTGTAATCCCAGCACTTTGGGAGGCAGAAGTGGGTGGATCAAGAGGTCAGGTGTTGGAGACCAGCCTGGCCAATACGGTGAAACCCCGTCTCTACTAAAAATACAAAAATGAGCTGGGTGTGGTAGCACACACCTGTAGTCCCAGCTACTCGGGAGGCTGAGGCAGGAGAATCGC